TATATAAAAGGTAATATATACTTATTGCGGTAAAATTAGAAAATGCAGATAAAATTGTAGTTTCCAAGTTGGAGAACAGCAGATTCCTCAAGTTGCATGGGCTGAGATAAAAATCCATAACTAGATATGACCGTGGATGGGCAAGTGTCTTTGTGTTTGTTCTTCTGCCTATGAAGTGGGTGTGGTACCTCGACAGATTACTACAAAGATGAAAACAGTCTCGTCTATATAAAGTACTCCGTAGAGTTGCCCGGACCTACAGTAAATATTTAATGTGAGCTGCTGCTGCTGCTGCTCTTAATCTCACGAGGGTCATCGTAAACATTCTATTCTGTGGAAAGCCAATCTTTTACTTATGTCCTATATGCATCTGTATCTCAAGTTGTAGTTTCCGTACATCCCCCACTCTCTAACTGCCGTCCCATATGGGTTCTAGTACGGCAGAGTGTAGTTCCGGCTAAGGAGTACTCCTCCCGCCCCACCCTCAAGGAAGTATTTTAGCGCCGTGAAAGAATGCCAGGGCTTGAGATTGACTGTCTACTTTCCAGGGAGCCAGGTGTGGGGAGGACAGCCGGTGTATCCACAAGAAGCTGATGATGCCTGCATCTTCCCTGATGGCGGACCCTGCCCGTCTGGTCCTCAGCATCCAAGAAGAAGCTTTGTCTATGTTTGGAAGACCTGGGGTAAGGTCTCCTAGTAGCCCCTCACAATGTAGTCCAACCCAGGGAGCCCAGGAGGAAATCCTCAACCTCCTGTCTCTCCAGCCTTTTTCAAACTGTTTCCCAGTTTTCTTTAACCTGTTGCCTCCTCTCCTCTGCTTTTGTCTCGAAAACTCTCAGGACGATACTGGCAAGTTCTGGGGGGCCCAGTGTCCAGGCTGAGCATTGCAACAGGCCACGCGAGGCTGGGCACACACACCATGGAAGTGACTGTGTACCACCGACGGGGGGCCCAGAGCTACGTGCCCCTTGCTCACGCCAGTTCCACCTTCACTATTACTGGTAAGATATCAGAAAGGAACACAGCCAGGCTGGCAGGGGGCGTGATGTGGGGAGGCTGGTTTGGTCTAGAAAGAGGAAGTGGTCAGAAACCTACAAAGGGGAGGGGTAGAAAGACTTGGGCAGAGAAGTGTGGGGTTTAGAGACGATAAAGGCCTGGCTAGCTGTGTGTGGAGAACGTGGCTGTGAAGGAGATGTGACCCAGGCCTGGTTCCTGACTTCTCTGGCTCTGACCCCAGACCAGGTCCCCTTCTCCGTGAGTGTGTCCCAGCTGCAGGCCTTGGATGGAGGAAACAAGCGCTTCCTGAGAAATCAGCCTCTCGTCTTTGCCGTCCAGCTCCACGATCCCAGCGGCTATTTGGTTGAGGCTGACCTCTCCTACACCTGGGACTTTGGAGACAACACTGGGACCCTGATCTCTCGGGCAGTTGAGGTCACTCACACTTACCTGGAGTCCGGCTCAGTCACTGCCCAGGTTGTAGTGCAGGCTGCCATTCCCCTTGTTTCCTGTGGTTCCTCCCCCGTCCCAGGTACCACAGATGGCAACATGCCAACTGCAGAGTTACCCGGAACCACATCTAGGCAAGGGACCACTTCAGAAGTTGGTACGACAGCTGGCCAGATGCCCACTACAGAACCCTCTGGAACCACAGTTGTACAAATGCCAACCACAGAGGGTACAGCTACTACCTCTGAGCAGCCACTGACCTCAGAGGTCCTAGATACCACACTGGCAGGGATGTCAACTACAGGGGGTATCGGTACCACAGCCACAAGGCCCTCTGCAGCCACGGTTGCACAAGTAACGACCACGGTGCTGGTAGAAACTACCACTGAAGACTTACCCACTCCTGAACCTGAGGGTCCAGGTGCCAGCCCATTTCTGCCTACAGAAAGTTCTACAGGTAAGAACGCATAAATGAGGTTCTTGGAGGTGGGTTGTCAATTCCCTACTCTGGTCTTGCCCCAAGATCTAGATGCTAATGGGTCCTTTCTGTAGCACTGCGGCTGCCTTGGAATTCTCACTAGCTCAAAAGCCAGAGTGTCTCAACCACATGCAAGAGACGTGGAGTTCAGGAAATGAGTTTTCCCCTAGCCACAAGGAAAGGAATGAGCTGGTTCTTCTTCCAAGGATAACAGCTAGGAAGCCAGGGGAGCTGAACAGCCTGTGGTCATTTACAAAACTCGCGTTCTGCTGAAGAGTAAATGCAGAGATGCGCCAGGTTCCGATAGCCTGGTTCTCCATTTCCCTCTCTGGGATTCCTACCCCAAAGCAAAACAAAGGAGTGAGATGTGACGCTGAATGGATCAACACAGGCCAGCCGTCTAGTCCAGGACCTGACCAGTGTGGGACATGACCAATATTTGGAGACTTTCTTTATAAAAAAAAATTAATGTGTGTGATGTTTTGCCTACATTGATATATACCACTTGTGTGCCTGGTGCTCATGGAGATCAGAAGAGGGCATCGGATCCCCTTCCCTGGATATGGAGTTACAGGTGGTTGTAAGCCACTATGTAGGTGCTGGGAATCAAACCCAGTTTCTCTATAAGAGTAACCAGTACTTTAAACCACTAGGGCATCTCCCCAGCCCTGGGTTGTGTGTGTCTACAAGAGTAACAAGTGCTTTAAACCATGAAAACATCTTTTCAGCCCTGGATTTGTGTATGTGTGTGTGTTTTCTCTTTCCTTGACTGTGTGGGGGTAAAAGCAGCATTTTTTCCCCATTCTCACACAGCTTTCTTATATATAAAGTGAGACCTACCACCTCTTCACTAATTCAAAGCTCCAGGAGCCTGTAGCCTTGGCTGTACTTGGGGCAATGCCTGCTTGGTCTGTCTCCAAGAGCGTTACATCTCTTGACTTTGCCCCCTCAAATCTTTTCCTGCCAGGGCCTGTCACCCCTCTCCTGGATGGCACAGACACCTTAATGCTTGTGAAGAGACAAGTTCCCTTGGATTGTGTTCTCTACCGATATGGTTCTTTTTCTCTCACCCTGGACATTGTCCGTGAGTCTTGCCTTTGTTGGGGACCAAGGAAGGGAGGTATAAGCTAGCTGCCAGGGCTGGCAAGTAGTAGCATATCTTGGGAGAAAATAATTGAGAATACTCTAATGGCAGAGATAGTATTGGAAGAGCATCCCTTGGACTTTCTTGTGTACTGTCTTGGTAGAGGAACACTAACTTAAAACGTTGCAACCTCACAGAGGGTATCGAAAATGCTGAGATCCTGCAGGCTGTGCCATCCAGTAGAGGTGATGCATTTGAGCTGACTGTGTCCTGCCAAGGCGGGTGAGTGTCCTGCTGGTCACTCTCTGGAGTGACTGTCATCCTTTCTGTTGTCCTGCCCCTTCGCGTATCTCTTGATGCAAACTCATACTCTTGCAGGCTCCCCAAAGAAGCCTGCGTGGACATCTCATCGCCAGGGTGCCAGCTCCCTGCCCAGAGGCTGTGCCAACCTGTGCCACCAAGCCCAGACTGCCAGCTGGTCCTACACCAAGTACTGAAAGGAGGCTCAGGGACTTACTGCCTTAACGTGTCTTTGACTGATGCCAATAGCCTGGCAGTGGCCAGCACCCAAATTGTTGTTCCTGGTAGGTACTTGACAAGAACTAGGAGGAAGGGAATGGACAGAGGGTTGCTGGGAGGGAAAAGATGCTGAAACAGTACCTGGGATTCTGCTTACAGGTCAAGAAGGTGGCCTTGGGCAAGCTCCGTTGCTTGTAGGTGTCTTACTGGTGTTGATGGCTGTGGTCCTTGCATCTCTGATATACCGGTAAGAGCCCTGCCATCCTGATCCCCATCCGTTATTACCACCAACCACTCTTCCTTCAGGGGTGAAGGAACCATCACTCCCTTCGAGGAACCATGGTGTCCAGGCGAGCCCCCGTGGGGACGTCAGACAGGCCTGGGCTATCGTCTTGTGGTACCTTTGGGGAGGGTTTGAAGCTTCTGAGGATTATTGGTATTAGAAGCTACGTGGGCAAGCCTCCTGGGGGCAGAAACAACCAATGACGTGGAGCTGTTGTACATATTAGGAGTGGGTCAGAGGTCAGTGATTGGGCTCAGTGAGGAAGCCCTCGCTGCCAAAGGCTGACCACTTGAAATCAATCCCCAGTGCCCACAGGCTAGGAGAGAACAAATTCCCCAAAATTTCCCTCTGGCCTTCACATGTGAACCATGACACATGCTGCCCCACTCCCCATAAGTAAATTTAAAAGTGTAAAAAAACAAAACAAAACAAAACAAAAAACCAGGGCAGTAGGGTGAAGCAAGTTATTCGCCTGTGAGAAAGGTACAGTCAGCAGGATGTGGTGGCACATGCCTTGGTTTCAGCATTTGGGAGGCAGAGGGAGATGGAGCTCTGTGAGCCTGGTGTAGAGTGAGCTCCAGAACAGCCAGAGCTACATAGTAGACGCTATCTCAGAAGTGGGGTGGGGCAGATGGCAGATTCCCCAGTTAGCTAGCAGTGCCAAGGACCTCAAGGTGGAGAAACATAGGGGTAAGGGGGAGTGGATGGCAGTGGTTATAGAGACAAGTGAAGATGAACGCTAGGTAGGGTAAGGAAGAGGGGAGAGAGCTGCGGTCGTGGCCAGGTAAACCTGGACAGACCGGCTGCCACTGCTGACCACTCTCCTTTCTTCTCTCCATACTAGGCACAGATTTAGGAAGCGGGGCTCGGTTCGTCCTGTTTCCCAAATGCCACATGGTAGCACCCACTGGCTGCGCCTGCCCCCAGTCTTCCGCACCTCCCGCCTTGGTGAAAACAGTCCGCTCCTCAGTGGGCAGCAGGTCTGAGCGCCCTCACCATGTTGTGAGTTTCCTGGGGTTGACAGCGATGCCTGATGCACTCCTGCAGTCTTCAGGAGACTACCAATACCTGAAATAAATTCTCAGAACCTTGCACTAGGGTTTTTGTTTGTTTTGTCTGCTCTTAAATCTGTCTCTAAAGGGGTGAAGATATAAAGAGATGTATTACTCATTTAACACATATCCCAGTGGTGGAAAAAGTACTTTATTAGATGAGGCACTTTCAGTGTTACGCGTTTTTGGTTCTGTGTGAGTGAGCATGTGGGAACAGTGAGGTGGTACAGGGTAATAAATACTGTGGAAATGAAGAAACATCCTTCTGGGCTGACAGGAGGGTGTGGCAGCAATGTACAGAGCATAGAGGGAAATCTCCAGAAACAACAAGATGGGCTCAAGGCAGAGGGTATCCTCAGCTCCAAAAGCCAAAGAAATTGTTGGAGTTGGGGGCTGGGCCCATAAGCATAGGCATCTGGTTCTTATAGGTGATCTTGATCTGAAAGGGAAGGAAACATATTTGAAAGCCTGTCCTGGTGCCCTAGGACTGAGACATACATTAGGGTTCTGGGGTAAGTTGTTGGGGTCCTGAGAATCCAGAGTTTGGGGATAATGGTGCACAGGGGAACCTAGGGCGCCAGGAAGCAGCAGCTGTAGAATGGAGACTTAGGCCCAGCTTCTGCAGGCATAGAATACTCACTGTACAGGGCGCTTGCATCCACGGTTCCCCATCAATTTGCATGGGGAGGGTTTTTGTGGTCCTGTGGGAGGTGAGGAAAGACTGGTTGAGGTTTTCTTACCAACCAAAACATTAACACTCCCAGGTTGGCTTTGAGACAGTCTGTCCTGGAGAAAGACCTAAGAAAGAGATTCCTACCCTTCCCGTGAGCCACCAACTCCCTTTCCACAGGAGCCCTGGCCCAAGTCCTCCTTACCGGAATGTAATCTCGGAGCACTTGGCCAGCCGATGTCCAGCATTCTTGAGCTTGGTATAGATCTGGCCCATCTCAATTGCACCCTCTATTCCTACTACTTCTAGCCGCTTGTCACTCATGTCTGGGGGTTAAAAGTTGACAGGATCAGGTTCTCATAAACAAGTCACACCACCTCCTCAGATCTGACGACGTTAGCTCCAAGGAGACTTGTCTCACCTGGCACCGAGGTTTTCAGGATATCGGGGTCTGTAATTATTTTGGCCGTACTGCCTAATGCCTGGTTGATAGTAGAAGTATCCCCCTGAGGTCTCCTGATATCACCCCAGAGGTTGGAGCCACCGTGTGTGCTTGGGATATTCAGTACTGCAATGCCTTCTAGGGAAAGGTCACTGAGATCCAGCGGCTTCCCACAGATCTGAGGGGAGAGGGACAGAACCATAGCTGGAGAGGGTGTGGAGTCTCACCTGATAGCACTGTCATGGAATGTGGCTGCTCCTGCTGGGATTGAGAGGTGTGCTAGAGAAGGGAGGGAGGAAGGGAAGGGAGGAAGGGAGGGAGGGAGGGAGGAAGGGAAGGGAGGGAGAGAAGGAAAGGGGGGAGGGAAGGAGGGACAAAGAGAAGGGAAGGGGGGAGGGAGGAAAGGAGGGAGGGAGAGAAGGAAAGGGGGGAGGGAAGGAGAGAAGGAAGGGAGGGAAGGAGGGAGGGAGGAAGAGAAGGAAGGGAGGGAAGGAGGGAGGGAGGGAGGAAGGGAGGGAAGGAGGGAGGGAGGGAGAGAAGGGAGGGAAGGAAGGAAGGGAGGGAGGGAGAGAGGAAGGGAGGGAAAGAGGGAGGGAGGGAGGGAGGGAGGGAGGGAAGGAGAGAAGGGAGGAAAGGAAGGGAGGGAGGGAGGGAGGGAAGGAGAGAAGGGAGGAAAGGAAGGGAGGGAGGGAGAGAAGGGAGGGAGGGAAGGAGGGAGGGAGGAAGGGAGGAAGAAGACCTAATATATATGTAATTGCTTTTTGAGATAGTAGGTTTTTTTTTTTCTCTCTGTATAGCACTGGCTGTTCTGGAACTCACTCTGTAAGCCAGACTGGCCTGAGAATCAGAGATCTACCTGCCTCTGCCTCCTGAGTACTGGGATTAAAGCCTTGTGTTGCCTAAGAAATGTATTTAGTAGCCAAGCATGGGCCCACACCTTTAATCCCAGTACTTGGGAGGTAGAGGCAGATAGATCTATGAGTTTGAGGCCATCCTGGTCAACACAGAGCTCCAGGACAGTCAGATCTACATAATAGAGACCTTGTATTAAAAAAAATAAAAAAATGTATTTATTATTTGTCTGTATATGAGGGGATGGGGGCATTATATGAGCATTCATATAGTAAAGAGGAGAGTTTATAGGAGTTAGTTCTCTCCTTATGCCATGTGAGTTATGGGGATTGAACTCTGGTTATTCGGCTTGGCAGCAAACCCTTTACCTGCTGAACCATCTTACCGGCCCCGAGACTAGTATATCTTAAGGACTTAGTAAATTGGAGTAATAGGTCCACACGTGTGTGACATTCCCAGGGACTTCTGTGTAGGACAAACCTGAATACAAGAAAATGAAAAACTTGGGGGCTGGAGAGATGGCTCAGAGGGTAAGAGCACTGGCTGCTCTTCCAGAAGTCCCGAGTTCAATTCCCAGCAACCACATGGTGGCTCACAACCATCTGTAATGAGACCTTGTGCCTTCCTTGCCAGCAGTACATTGTATGTTTAATAAATAAATAAATCTTTAAAAAAAAAAGAAAAGAAAACGAAAAACTTGCAATCGCAGAATTTAGGGATTTGATGTAGGAGAATTGCTGCAAGTTCCAGGCCAGTCTGGGATACAGCGTGAGACCCTATCTCAAAAAAAAAAAAAAAAAAAAGTTAAAAAGACGCGGCTCACTTGGTTTTATCATACGCACCTCAACTGTTAAAGACTCTTCCAGCTTTTTGCATGTTGAGAAGATAGTTTCAGATGTGGCAAATTCCAAGTACCACAACTTGTTTTTCATTCTTCATCAACCCGAACAGAAGGCCCAAAAGGGAAGAGACAAGTTACACACACAGTGCTGACAGCGACAACAAAGGGGGCCAAACTTCCGACTCCAGGGCAACAGTGGCAGCTTTGGTGAGGGGCTGCTAGCAGGTGCTTCTGCCTACACCTAACCATTCGGCGTCAAATTACTCACAAGTCCAGTCTTTTTATTTATTTTTTTCCTTAGAGACAGGATTTCTCTGTGTAGGCCTCATTTGAGACCAGGCTGGCCTTGAACTCAGAGACCCTCCTATCTCTGCCTCCCAAGTGCTGGGATTAAAGGTGTGCTCACCATGCCTGGCACAAATCCAGTCTCCACACTGAATGTCCATTCCCTGTTTCTTTTTTTAAAATATCTTATTCATTTTGTGTGTGTGCTCATTCATGCATATGGAGACCAGGTGATAACCTGCAAGAGTCAGATCCCCTCTTTCTACCATGTGGGTTCCAAGGATAAAACTCAGGTCGGTCTTCAGGCTTAGGGGGAGACACCCACTGAGCCACCCTTCTCCCCTCTTTCTTTCCTCACCTGCTGTTGAACTTCTCAGGATATTTCTCTCGCATGACATGGAACTGGTGGGCGATTGAAGCATCCTGGAGGATTACAAGCATATTTTAGAGACTAGACTCCTCCCTGCTCAGAACTCTTTCTTTGCTACGTTTTCTTTCCCTTTGCTCTCCCTTTGGAGTACGGCCCATCCCACATTCTTTCTGCAGCACACATCCCTATGTACCTAACTCCCTTCCACCACCACCCCTCCCCCCCCCCCCCCCCCCCCGTGTCGCTTCCTTTCTGGTCTCCTCCAGCTTCTGCCTGCTTTGCCCACACTTCTCCCCCACCCTACTGCACTGACCACACCAATGGAGAAGTAGTTATTGATGATCTGAGAGGGGACGGGGTCACTCTTCTCGTTTGCTTGGAGTGTTACTTCCAGGAGCCACCGGTCGAGATATACCACCTTACTCGTCTCTATGTCCTTGAGGATCTTTCCCAAATTCTCACCTTCATAACCTAGGGGTAGAAAAGACAGGCTTGCATGGATCCCTGGCCTCTGAGAGCCCACTCTGAGCCCATCTGCACGGATTCCCAGGGATCCTCTGCCTCGGCTATGTAGGAGCCCCCAGGCCTTTGCCAGTGAAAGGGCAAGATGCCCAAGCCCCAGGAACCAGTGAGCAAGTCAGCTTCTGGCTGTCTCTGCCTGCTATGAAAAATGAACATTCCCAATGTGTGTCCATATGGACATTATTCCACATACGTCTTGAATAGTGCAAGATAGACCAGGAAAATGCTGAAAGAGACGAGTGACAGCAAGTGGTGGTGGTTCAAGTCTGCAACCCCAGCACGTGGGAGGCTGGTCAAAAGACCATCCTAGGGGCTGGAGAGATGGCTCAGAGGTTAAGAGCATTGTCTGCTCTTCCAAAGGTCCTGAGTTCAATTCCCAGCAACCACATGGTGGCTCACAACCATCTGTAATGAGGTCTTGTACCCTCTTCTGGCCTTTGGGCATACAGACAAAATATTGTATACATAATAAATAAATAAATAAATATTTAAAAAAAAAAGGAGACTCTTAAGAGTGAAAAGTTGGAAATAGCTTTAAAAAAAAAAAAAAAGGACCATCCTAGGCTTCGTGGGAGTTCAAGGTCAGCCTGAGCTGCACAATGACACCTCACCTCAGAACCGGTCATAGTAAATACAGTTAGCTAATCCTTCCTGGCCCCAATCTAACAAACGCCAAAAGCTAAACGTGTGCCATTAAATTTAGTTAGCTATTTCTTTTTATTATTGTTGATGTTTATTTTATGTGTATACGCTATTTGCCTGCATATATGTCTGTATACCACATGCATGCCTAATGCCTACAGAGGCCAGAAGAGGGCAATGGATCATCTGGAACCGGAGTTACATATGGTTACATAAGTTGCCATGTGTGTGCTGGAAATTGAACTTGGGTCCACTGTAAGAACAGCCAGCATCCTTAACTACCAAGTCATCTCTCTAGCCCTTTAAAACTTTTTTTGACACAAAATGTCCACACACATACATGAATAGATGTATATGAAAGTATTCTTGGAATGAATTGAAAAAATTAAGTATCCCTCAGTATAAAAACCTATGCCACTGCCAGGTGGCACACACCTTTAATTCTAGCACTTGGGAGGAAGAGGAAGGCAGATCTCTGTGAATTCAAGACCAGCCTGGTCTATAAAGCAAAATCCTTTCTCTCTCAAAAAAAATTCTATGCCGGGGGCTGGAGAGATGGCTCAGAGGTTAAGAGCATTGCCTGCTCTTCCAAAGGTCCTGAGTTCAATTCCCAACCATCTATAATGAGGTCTAGTGCCCTCTTCTGGCATGCAGGCAGGCATGGAAGGAATGTTGCATACATAATAAATAAATAAATATTAAAAAAATTCTATGCCACAAAAATGTGATATAGGTATTAGAAACCGTGAAATACAATAATATGGAAAGACTGTCAAGACACATAATTAATGAAGAAAGTCCTAGAACAATCTAGACATAGTATGACCTTGTGTGTTTGTTAAAATGTCAGGTGTGCTGGGGTAAAGCGGCTCAAGAGGGTAAAATGCTTGCCCACAGGATGGCGACCAGAGTTTGAATACACAGAACCTAGAAAAGCTAGGCACAGTAGCATGGAGATATCCCCAGGGCTTCTTTAGGGAGATGAGGGTTGGCTACCGTACACCTGGAAGCTTATACTTGCTAGCCTGGGACATCCATCAGGATAAAGACAAGAGGCCAGGAATCTCAAAGGGGACGGGAGGTGAGGATCAACCGTGGAGGTTGTCCTCTGACCTCCACACACACACTGTGGCACACACATGCCTGTACTTACACACACAAAGGCACACCCATGCATCCTACACACACACTATGCCAAGATAAATATGTGTGGGCAAACATGCCTGCACATATATACACACATGGCACTAGCGAGATGGCTCAGTGGGTAATGACACGTGCTGCCAAGCCTGAGGACCTGAGTTCAATCCCTGAGACCCCATGTTAGAAGGCGAGAACCGACTCCTGCAAGCTGCCCCCTGACAGCCACATGTACAGCAGGACATCATCCTGCCCGCCACTAATTAAACACATGTAAATTAAAGCAAAACAGAAGCTGAGCGTGTTGACACACCCGTGTAATCTTAGCTCCTGGGAGGCTGAAGCAGGAGGCTCACAAGGCTACGTTGCAACAATCTGTCTCACAAGGAAGGAATAAAAGAAAATTATGAGAAGTTTCCGTATTGGTGTGTATCCGGAACAACACGGAGGGATAGACCCCAAAACTTCAGGGAGTATAAGGAACTTCTAACTTCCTGGGCATGCGTATTTGAAATAGTCATATTAATTTGTTTCTATTGTTTCTTATTTTAACGAGGATGATTAGGAAAGAGTATTTCCTACAGCTCTTCTCCCACTCATCCAGCTCCACTGAGCGAAGCTTCTTGGGCCAGCAGGTGGAGGCACTTGACACAAAGCCTGACAACCTGAGCCGATCCCCAAGACTCCTGAGAGTTGTCCTCTGACCTCCACGCTTGTGCTATTGCCTACACAGAGGGGGTTCTTGTTTGTTTAAGATTATCTTGGACTCTTGCCAAATTCAGTACTTTGTATATAGTTCTCCATTTAACTGTTTGGTTGTTGTTGTTGGTGGTTTTTTTTAAGATTTATTTATTTATTATGTATCCAGTGCTCTGCCTGCATGTATGCCTGCAGGCCAGAAGAGGGTACCAGATCTCAATACAGATGGCTGTGAGACACCATGTGGTCGCTGGGAACTGAACTCAGGACCTCTGGAAGAGCAGCCAGTGCTCTTAACCTCTGAGCCATCTCTCCAGCCCTGTTGTTGTTGTTTTGTGACAGGATTTCTCTGTGTAATAGCCTTGGCTATCCTGGAACTTACTCTGTAGACCAGGCTGGTTTTGAACTCAGAAATTCACCTGTCTCTGCCTCCCGAGTGCTGGGATTAAAGGTGTGTGCCACCACAACCCGGCTCCATTTAACTCTTACAATTCTTCATTTAGCCTCTAAAACCTCACTCTTTTTGTTACAGGACCCTTCACAGAAGCCATTCCTTCATAGCGTCTCTCTCTCTTAGAGATCCACATTTGAATCTTAACACTCACACAGGGGAGCCAGGGCTGGTGGCCTTCCTGTGTAGCCCCAGTTCGATTCCAGACAGGAAAATGAGTTCAGAAGTTTGCAACCAAATTGGACAACATAGTAAGACTTTGCCTCAAATAAAAACAATTATATTAATAAGGCAAAATATCAAAGAACCTCACTTACATGGTGAGAGATTTTGCAGATGTGCTTACATTAGGGACCTTGACTGGGTCATTATCCTGGCTTATCTGGATGGTCCTGAAACAATCACAGTCGTGATTAGACGTGCAAGCGCCAAGCGTGGCAGGGCGAGTCTGTGATCCCAGCATTGACGCTGATGTGAGGGAACTGCCTCAGTTTTCAGGCCTGTCTGAGCTACACAGTGAGTCACACAGCCTGGGCTATGTAGCAAGGACCTGTCTCAAAACCCCAGACAGGCCAGTGAGCTGGTTTAGCAGATAAAGGGGCTCGCTATCAAGGCTGATGACCTGAGTTCAATCCTTAGGACTCACTCAGTGTGGAGAATGGACTCTTGCACATTTCCTCTCACTTCCATTTCACCATTGTGGCACACTCGTGCCCACACACATGCATGCGTACACATACCTGGCAACATTTGTTATTGTTGTTATAGGAACTCACTATAGTCCAGGCTGACCTGAAACTCTCTATGTGGGCCTGGACCTCAAGGTAATCCTTTGGCTTCAGCCTCTGAGATAATTGGTGTGAGCCACCATGCCTAGGTCCTGACGCATTTCTAACCACCGACCACGGCATCTTCACCCGGCTGCTCCACTGCTACCTTAGCTTAACATGCACCAAACTGAATCACGGTTTCTGGAAATGGACTTCCTTCTACATCCCCATCATCATAACAGGCGTCCCCATCGGGTCAGACACAAACCAGGAAACCTGTCGCCACCTCCTTTATCTCTGTTCCACCAGTTACCAAGCACTGTGGCTTCTACCTTACCCGTCCCTATCTCCCTCAGGCAACTCACCCTCCTCAGAGCTCCCATAGCGATATTCCTTTTACCTCCTGGTCTTCAAACCTTTTGATAGCTTTTAGTGTCTACATAAATTTACATTAGTTCTGTATATTCTTGTGGTCATGATTCAGGTTGAGTAAACAGAACTCTGGGAGTGTCTCACTGACAGAACACAGTGAGGACTCAAATGTATAATTTCGAAGTGCCAGATATAACAATGGAGAAGTCAGATAAAAACTGGTCACCCACACACGAGGCTTGGGTGAGGGCTGGAGAGATGCTTAGTGCATGAAGGTGCCCACTGCCTCTGCCAACCTGATCCCAGCACTCACACGGCAATAGGAGAGAGTTTGCTGATGTACCCATGTAAATACACACACACACACACACACACACACACACACGCACACACACACACACCATAAAACTAAAAAAGTCTTACATTATAAAATAAAGTCAGAAAGTTTTCCTTTTTTTCCCTTAATTTCTTTGAGAACTATCTGTGGTTCAAGGTTTACACATTCAAATATTTCAGTGGCTGCAAAGGAAAAGTGGTGAGTAGCCAGCAGAGGTATGGGAAGTCCTTCTGTCCATGTTTTGCTTTTATTGGTTAATGAATAAAGCTGATTCAGGCAGTGGCTTAGCAGAATGGGACAAGGCAGGAGTTCCAAGTAGACAGAGGAGGACAGAGTAGGCGGAGTGAGCGAGAAGCCTTTGACCCCGCCGGACAGATGCCCAACAGAACTTTACCCAGCAAGCCACAGCCACATGGCAATACACAGATTAGTGGAGATGGGTTAGTTTAGGATATAAGAACTAGCTAAAAATATGCTTAAGCTATTGGCTAAGCAGTATTGCAAATAATATAGTTTCTGTGTGATTATTTCGGGTCTGAGCTGCTGGGAAGGAACAAGCAGCCTCTGCCAACATAGCAGGAAGCCAGACAGACTGAGGTGAGCTGGAGAATACAATTAGAATATCTGACCTCCATGGACGCCAGGCAAGCACATGGTACACAGACATATATGTAGGTAAAACACAGAGTAATAATTGTTTTAAAAATACAATGAAGAGCCTGGTGGTGGCGCACATCTTTAATCCCGGTACTCAGGAGGCAGAGGCAGGTGGATCTCTGTGAGGTCAAGGCCAGCCTGGTCTACAGAGTGAGTTCCAGGACAGGTTCCAAAGTTACAGAGAAACCCTGCCTCAGAAAAAAATAAAATAAAATAAAAATTAAAAAAAATCAGTGAGCTGCCTCAGTGGGTAAAAGCACTTGTTGCCAAGTCTGACGTCAATCTAAGGAACCCACGTGGTAGAAGAGAGCTGACTCTCAAAACTTGAAAATTGTCCTCTGGTGAGTTCAAGGCCAAGGCCAGCCTGATCCACAGAGAGAGTTTGGGGCAGCCCGGATTACTCAGAGAGCCCATCTCAAAAAAGAGAGGAAGGAAGGAAGAAGGGAGGGAGGGGGGAAAGTGAGGGAGGGGGATGGAAGGAAGGAAGAAGGAAGGAAGGAGGAAGGGAGGAAGAAAGGAAGGGGGAAGAAAAAGGGAAAGAAGGGAGGGAGAGAGAGAAGGAAGGAGGAAGGGAGGGGGAAGGAAGGAGGGACAGAGGGAGGGAGGAAAGGAAAGAGGAAGGAAGGGGGAGGGAGGACAAGGAGAAAGAAGGTGTCCTCTGATATCTGCAAGCACACTGTAACACAAGCATATGTGTATTGTGTGGAATTTTCAATAATTAGAAAGAGAAACAAGCGACTATGAGACTGCCTGATGCTCACTCAGCGGTCACACACCCTTCAGCACCCCACACTGCGCCTTGTTACCCTATCGTATTCCCTTATCCTTTGGGCCCTAGGACCTTGGGGTGATTAGGGAAGGAGACTGTCACCCTCCACTCTTCTTCGTTCTTCCCCAGCTCTCTCTTTATACCAGACCCTTAGGGTGTTTGCACCACGTACACGCAGTGCCCACAGAGGACGATGTCAGGTCTTTGAGCACTGTGGTTGCAGAAGGTTGTGAGCCACCACGTGGGTGTTGGGAACTATGCCCAAGTCCTTTAGAAGAACAGTCAGTGCTCCTAACGCTGAGCCATCTATCTCTCCAGTCCCCCGCCCCCCCCCCCCCCGCCCCCCCCCCCCATGCTCCAGCCAAACCCTTCATTATCACTCACCTCTTCCCCACCTTAGGCAACGAGCCAGATCATTTCCAGTGCCCAGGGGCAGCACAGCAACAGGAGGCACAACCGGAAAGTTGGCTTTGTCTGAGGAGGCAGGCGAGGAGAAGGGATGGAAGGGGCTGGCCCTGGAACACTGCTTCCCCATCCCCTGCCCAGAGGCACCTCTCCCTGCACTGACCAATGCTTTCTAGAATCCAGCCTACTGTGCCGTCTCCACCACACACCAATACCCGGAATTGAGGAACGTCTCTGAAAAATTTGAGCCTGAGATAGGAGGAAAGAGAGAAAATGAAGAAGGAAAACTGGAACCTACCAGGTCCTGAGCAGATAGGTCACTTCTTATCTCTCATGCCTAAGACCCTGTTTCCCATTGTGGAACAGACTAACTGTGTAAAGGTGTGTTGCTTTTGTTTATGCTGCATTTGTTTTATTATGTAAAGATGTGTTGCTGTTTCACCTTGCCTGCCTAAGGCGCCTGATTGGTCTACTGAAAAGCTGAACAGTCAAAAGCTAGGCAGTAGAGGGATAGGCGGGGCTGGTAGGCGGAGAGAAGTAGGAGGGATTTAGGCTTGAGCAATAAGAAAAAAGAGAGAATGAGGGAGAAAGGGAGGGAGACACCCAGGGCCAAGTCAGCCACCAGACACAGAGCAAGCTGTGAAAGTTGGACGTATAGAATGAAAGAAAGATAGAAAGCCTCAAGGCCAAATGTAGATGAAGAGAAACAGGTTAATTTAAGTTGTGAGAGCTAGTGGGACAAGCGTTAGATAAGACCGAGCGTTCATTGCTAATAACAAGTTCTCCATGTCATGATTTGGGAGCTGGTTAGTGGCCCAAAAGGAAGCAGTTACAATTACCCCCTTGCCAAAAGACTTCAGCTTGGGGCCGACAGGCTAACTGAGCTGGGGAAGCACTGACTTTCCAAGCCCCAGGACCTGAATTGGATCCCCAGAACCAACATAAAAAGGCCAGGCATGGTGGTGTGTGTTGTCACTACAGTGCCACCTGGGAAGCAAGCCAGAGGGTCTCTGGGCTGGTCAACCAGTCCAGCCTTGTCTCAAAAGAAGGACGGCATTCCTAAAGGTGACACCTCAAACTGTTCCACGGCCTTGATCCACCCAAACACCCGCCCCCCAACAACTCCCCTTCCTTCCTACCCCCCCCCCCCCCCCACATGCACACCTGTGGGCACACACGCCATTTTTAAAGTACATAAAAAGGCTCGTCGAGCAAGCTCAACAACCCGACTTCAAGCCTCACTACTCGATTCTCAAAAGTTGTCCTGTGACCTCTATTCATGTGGCATATACACACATTGATGATGATATAATAATAATAATAATAATAATAATAATAATAATAATAATAAATTAAATGAAACTGTAAAGAGCTGGGCAGATGGCCAGGTAAAATTTCTTCTCATCAAGCACAAAGATCTGAGTTTTGATCTCCAGAACCCATGCTAAAACAATAAACAAACAAACAAAATACAAAGAGCAAGGGTGACCATAGGCTCCTGGAAGCCTACCACCGGGAAAAATTGAGGAAAAAAAAAAAGATTTGAGATTTTAATAAGGGTGGAGAAAGGAGAATGAACAAGTTCTTGCTATCCTTCAGTGGTTAGAGAGGATTCTCTCTGTCCTTTGAGAGCAGAACCAAGAGTCAGAAAATCAGAAGTAATGGGATCATAGTGACTTGAAGGGAAGACAACATTTGGGAATCCGAGCTCTTGGCTCTTGGGCCTCCTCTAACAGACACACTTTCTCTCTCTCTCTCTCTCCACACACACACCCCCCCCCCTCAAGCCCTGTGACACAGCCCCTTGTCTATACCCACCCTTGCTCTGGACCATTTTTCAGGTTGTACACCTGCCGAGGGTTTAGCATATACTGGAACTTCCAAAGCACCCTGTGTGAAAGGAGAAGACAGGCAATGTGGCCTGGGCTGACAGCACTGACACTCTGTGCTGTTTCCATGGCGCCCCCAAAGGACCCCTCCACACACATTCCCTCCTCCCTCCCCACTCTGTGCTGTTTCCACGGCGCCCCCAAAGGACCCCTCCACACACATTTCCTCCTCCTTCCACACTCCGGCGCTCCCTGCCCTACTAGGAAGAACGGTGAACGTCTGCTCACCTCTGCCCCTGCTTCCCTCCACTCTTAAGATTGACAAAGACTAGAAGCGGATGGGTGTTAGGAACAGGGTCAATCTGCAGTGGGCACAGAAAATAAGGATAAAGAAAGCATGATTTTGTCAAAGCTAAAGGTGGGGCCTTCAGAGGCATGACTGGCATTTCCTAAGCCGCTTTTCCCCTCTCCTGTTTCGTCTCCCCTCTCCTCCGCCACCAAGGTGAACCATTTAGACAGCAACTATACCCTGCTGCTGTTTCTATTCCTCCCAAGAAGGCTCCAGTCAAAAGCTGGCATGACCTTTAGGCCCAAGCCCCTCATCCCTGTACCCGAAGAGCATCAATGGTAGACAGGCTTGCGTCATCTGCGGTCTTCAGCTTGCGATCTGGTACAGATGCCTGGGAAGGGAAAGAAAAGGTAGGTTATGCAGGAATCAAAAGCATGGGTGTCACTGGAACACTGAAGGTCCTGGCTCTCTGTTCTCAATGTCCCTCTGGCTGGGTAAGGCGGCTCACACCTATCCTATAATCCCATCCCTTGGGAGGCAGTGGTAGGCAGATCTGAGTTCAAGGTTAGTTTGGCCTACACAGCAAGTTTCAGGCAGGCCAGGGTTACATAGTGAGAAACAATAACAAAACCCCACATCTATGGAGAGGTGTGTTCACGGAAAAGCAGGGATAGGCTGTCCCTTCCCAGCTGCTGTGGACGGTCTCACCAGAACTCTGGGATAAATGGAAGACGGAGGCAGGATATGATCACGGAGCGGCCCACAGTCACACTCGGTCCCCACAGCCTGCAGACAGTCGTCATGGATCTAGGAGCACAAAACGGGAACAAATCATGCAGGAGGCTTTATCAGTTCTCAACCTGAGAGTCTGGACAGGAAAGAGAGCCCTTGGGAGCAAGAATGACTGTGGTAGTTACAGAGGTGGGGTGCTCTGGTCTCAGCCTCGGGCGGGGCGGGGCGGGGCGGGGAGGGCGGGGAGGGGCGGGCGGGGTGGGGCGGGGTGGGGCGGGGCGAAGACAGCTCCTGCACTGACCTCCAGGTGGCACCACACACAATGCAGTCCTGTGAGGCTGTGGTAGATGCGGATCTTTTTCTGGCAGCGGTCACATCGTCCAGAATCACAGCCTCCTCGAACCCACACATGTGACTGGACCTTGGGGGAGAAGGCAGGGCCTTGTCTGGGAGGGGTCTTGTGTGGGAGGGAATGAGGACAGGGACCAGGGGTTGGCAGCGTGGGAACGAACTGGGCGTGGGGTCACTCACACCAATGTCTTTCCGAGACTTGGCATAGGTGCTGACTTCACAAGGCTGGGCCTTCATGGCACAGTGGTCATGAACAGTGTACTTACAGACTGGGGAGAGGGAAGAAGGGCAGAGCTTTAATTGTGGCCTTTCCCCCTCTTCTTCTTTCTTGGGAGTGAAGAAGAATCACTCGCTGGAGCAAGACCTGCAACCCTTGCTGCCAGGTTGTGGTAGAGAATTAAAGTTTGCAAGGGCAAGCCTTGTCTCAGTCTCCTAAAAAGGCAAATGATGCCACCTCCTATCGGTCCCTACACTGTCCCCATGGCTGGCTGGAACTATGCCACCTCCTATCGGTCCCTACACTGTCCCCATGGCTGGCTGGAACTATGCCACCTCCTATCGGTCCCTACACTGTCCCCATGGCTGGCTGGAACTATGCCACCTCCTATCGGTCCCTACACTGTCCCCATGGCTGGCTGGAACTATGCCACCTCCTATCGGTCCCTACACTGTCCCCATGGCTGGCTGGAACTATGCCACCTCCTATCGGTCCCTACACTGTCCCCATGGCTGGCTGGAACTGACAGAGCAAGTTCTGGTCAGCCAAAGCTACACAGCGAAACCTTGTATCAATAAAATAATTGAATCTTTGATGCAATGTCTCCCTTTAATTAATTAATTGAATTTATTTGTGTGTGTGTGTGTGGGTAGCATGTACCACAGTGTACATGCAGAGGTCATAAGACAACTTTCTAGTCCATTTTCTCATTTCACAGGTTCTCGGGATTGAGCTCAGGACAGCAGGTCTGGCAACAAGTGCTTTCGCCCACTGAATTATCTTCCCAACCCCTGTTTGCTTGTTTTGAGATGACAGGGTCTTATGTAGTCCAGGCTGTACAGAAGGCCGACCTTAAACTTCCTCTGTAACTGGGGCTAGCCCTGAACTCCTGATCCCCCTCCCTACAGCTGAGGAGTGCTGTAACCATGTGTTACCATGTGTTACAAAGGCTAGTTGTATGAACATATCTACTGTTTACAATTACTTCCTCTTTCTAGTCAAAGAAACTAAAGCTTAAAGAAAATACATGAAACTGGGCATGCTGACTCACCCCTTTAATGCCAACATTCAGGAAGCTGAGGCAAGCTAGATATGGTGTCTGGCACTTTCGTGCCAGCACTCAGGAGGAAGAGGCGGGAGGGTCTCTGTGAGTTCCAGGCCAACCTGAGCTACAGCGCAAGAGCCTGTCTTTTTACTTATAATTTTTTTAAAAAAATTATAAAGATTATTTGAAAAAAGAGAAAAAGACGTACAGACTTCGGTTTGAATCCGAGCACAACACACAAATAATAATTAATAATAAAGGTTACGTTGCTTTTGCAGGATCATATAGAGGGAGTGTCGGAGCCTACAGTTCTAATCCTTGTTTCTCTGAGTTCATAACATCATGTCCCCACTAATTGCCGGGCTTCCCTCTTCCCACACCCCGGGTATCATCACTCACGGTTACAGCTCAGGCCCTGTTTGCCAAGGCCAATGCTCAGCTCGCATAGGTTGCAGTAGACTGGTCTGGGGAATCTCTTGGGTCTCCACATGTGTACCCCATCATCCCTCAGCGTCATATCTACCCCCAGAAGCACAAGCAGTGGTACAGTGGTGGCGCCAGCCCGGACCCACTCAGCTAGGGAGACAGAGCCACTGCCATCATAGTCGATCTCTTTCATCATCTCCTGGAGGATCTGAATGGAGAAGAGAGGACGCCCTTGCCGAGAGCGGCCCCAGACACCTCCCCGCTGTCTCTCAGGACACCCTGAGGAAGCCCTTGCTGAGAGTGGCCCCAGACACCTCCCCGCTCTCTCAGGTGTCTCTCAGGACACGCAGCACAGTCATCCTATCAGAGGGACCCAAGTGCCCATTAGAGATGGGATAAGGCAGATGCAGGATCGTGGGTAAAGGGCATAAAAAGGCAAGGGACAAACTGTCTTACCGGCCTCAGCTCGGACACATCCCAGTCTAGATATTCGGCCACTCGAATCATCTGGTGGATAATTCTTTCTACTTCCTGGGGCAAAGAGGGTAAAAGCCAGAGCTAGTCACCTCCTGTCACCACTCCTCAAGTCTAGAAACCAGGGCTCCTGGATGCCCCTTCCAGATGCACCCCTTGTTCTCAGGTACCCTCTGACAAGTCAGTAAACATGTGGCCGCTTCCCATCTCCAGCCTTCTCTTTCAGAGTTCAAGCTCTCAGGAACCTCTTCATATTTGGTCCTAGTAGACTAAGAATCCTCTAGACACCATTGTCTCCTCTTTTTGGGGGGGTTTGTTGGTGGTGGTGGTGGCGGTGAGAGGGTAGTGTTGGAGATGAATTTAAGGCCATGTGCATGCTAGGCAAGCACCACACCACTGAGCTTCACCCCCCCCCCCCCACCTTTGCTCTGCTTCTGGAGACCCTGGGAAAGTCCAGGTGGGAGAGCACAGGCAGATGGACAGAGTCTCTTGCTCAGCACACGGGTTCTCACAACTCACCGAGCTGTCCAGGATCCCGTTTCTATCCGAGTCGTACAGCTTGAAGGTGACTGTGAAGTTTTGGAGGAACCCAGTCAGTTTGTGAGAAAGATCTAAAGAATTCACTCCAAGGCCAGGCTTGAAAGGGCTTGTAATCCCAGCACTTGGAAGATGTCTATGAGTTCAACCCTGATCTACTTAGTGAGCTCCAGGCCAGCTTGGGATACATAGTGAGACCCTGTCTCAAAAACAAAACAAAACAAAACAAACAGACAAACAAACCCACAACAAAAACCAAAACAAAACAAAAACCCCAAGTATTCAGAAACCAGAGGAAAATAAAGAGATACGGAAGTCAAGAAGAGGATTGAGGCCGGCAGTGATGGTGCACACCTTTAACCCCAGTACTCAGGAGGCAAAGACAAGGGGATCTCTGTGAGTTCAAGGCCAGCCTGGTCTATAGCGTAAATTCCAGGACAGGCTCCAAAGCTACAGAGAAACCCTGCCTTGGGGAAGAAGAAAAAAAAAAGAATAGGTTTGATAGAACAGATGAGCAGGAAGGGCAGCTGGAAGCCCAGATACACACCAGGACTCAGGAAGCTGAGGCAGGAAGATAGAGAGTTTGAGACCAGGACGACTTACACATTGTGAGACCCTGTCATATACATATAAAACAAAAAGGTAGGGAAAACAGCAACGAATGCCAGCCCTGGTAAATATAATAAAGACAGCACACACTTCTGTGCACCATGAGCATCCAAGGCCACCTACATGGGGATGTCTAAGGCGTGGGACCTGGTGTGACACGCGGTAGCATGTGTAGGCAGTCAAGGAGGACGGAGGAAATAGGCCCGCTCTCTGGCGCACCCTTGTCAGCCTTTAGAAATTCCAACAGAATGAGGAAAGGGGGTCTGGGGAATACTTCCCTTCCCCTGCTCAGAACGGCAGGCAGACTCACATTCTAGCTTGTCTTCTGGCCGGCCGCCCTCCAGGAGGGAGAAGTAGCAGGAGACATCACTGAGGCAGATCACATTGCCTATAAAATGAAAACACATGCAGAGCCAAGGTCAGGCCCCTTCTACTTTGGGTCTTTCTCTTGCGCTTACCTCAGCTCTCCCCTTTATCTTTCTTTACACTAGCTCCTAGTGCCTTCTCTCTTGACCTGCCCACAATAAGCGACTGCTTCAGTCCTCATCCCCAAATGCAAACTACTTTGGCTGTTTTTCCAGAGGCCCAGCCCAGCTCCACCTGCTTAAATGTACCTCTTGACTTAGTCATTTCTAAGCTTTGACTAGCGTGAAAGGACCAAAACAGAGACCAGCAGAGGTGATGGGGGACTTCATCCACTTCCAGATAGAGTTTCAGGAAATTCTCAAATCCCACGTAGCCAATGACCTATGATAAGAGTTGAGCATTACACTGGGAAGTCTGCAGGACAGAGAAGCTGAGGACTGAGGAATGGGGAGCCATACAATAGAGGCCCTGCTGCCAGGCACCAGAGGCGGAAGAATGGTTACTTGGGCCATCTCCTGGGTTACTAGGATCCCTCACCTTGTTCTAAAGCAACAGCTCCAGTAACACTCAACAATGGAGTATTTGGAGGTGGGAAAGCAAGAAGTGGGTCCACGAAAATTCCCCGCAAGTTGGGAATCAAGGAGAGGGCGCCCCATGACACTCACATCTTCTTGGCAAAATCTGTTCATGTCACCATCCTCAAAGAGCTTCAGAACATCACTGACCTTTTTGGTGGAGTCTGCGTAAGAAGAGAGCAAGACAAGATTAAGAGCATAGCTTGGTTCTCCTGGCCTTCCGCCAGAGTTCCACTTGGCCATCTACAGGAACAAAGGTTTGGATGAGAGGAGAGACTGCAAGAAGGGAAGAGCCGTTCAGCTTCTCCACAGCAATGCCCTTGTTTTCTCCGCTGAGGCCTGGAGCAAGCAGTCGGGTAGGGGAAACGTGGGGAGAGAGCTGAGGCCTTAGCATGGGCTGTGTGAAAAGGAGATCAGCTCCTGGTGGCTGGGACTCGGGTGGAGGGTACCGAGAAGGAAGCCTCCAGAACTGAGGGGCGGGGAGAAAGACTCACATTCCATGTATTGCTGCAGCTGAGCAAAGTCTTCTGGGCTGATTAGCCCCTTCTCTTTGGCCATCCTTTGTCTCTTCTTAAGGTATAGCACAAACAGAGCCCGGTAGTACAGCTTCTTGCGTTTGTTTTTCAGAGGGCAAACCTAGGGGAAGACGGGAGCGGTCATGGAAAGTGGCTACCTGTCTATATCTTGTGCCGGCTTTCCCTGTGCCTGTCTCTAACTCTCCCCGACAAGGACTGTTCTCTGTCTTCCTTTCTCTGACTCATCTCTGACATTTCTGGGTCCTTCTTCCACTCAGACTTCTCCCATCTGTTTGATTCAAAACACACACACACACACACACACACACACACTGCGCCTGGCCTTTTTCAGTCCCTTGCCCTCACTTCAGGCTCTGTGGCCTCTGCCCATCTCCTCCCACCCTCCTGAGAGTCTCACCTTAGGGCACCTCATGTGGCAGGACCCCATCTTGCTCTCCCTCCAGCTACCACTCCCCGAGCCCCACACACCCCCGCCCCGCCCCGCCCCACAACGAACTCCAGCGCATCTGACAAGAGGCTCAGAACTAGCGGGGAAGAGATTTAGCTCTGTTCACATCCCGTGGGGCTCTACTAGGGACTGGAGGGAACTTGGCTCGTGGGACTGGGGAAGGTTGGACAGGAGACTTCCTGGGTTTCCTGGGTGCCGAACGCGGAGCTGCAAGTTCCGCTATGACGCCAGATCCCCCACCCTGCTGGGTTACCAGCTTTTATGGAACTGGCACCTTTTGGTACAGATCCCAGGATACAAGCGGGGATCACGTAGTCCTAACTCCTGCTGAAGGACTAAGTAGTAGAGGGTGACATTTCTAGACGATTTTATTTTGTTTGTCTGCTAGGGTCTCGGTACTATGTGGCCCTGGCTGTCTTAGAATTGGCTGTATAACCAAGGCTGCATCAAACTGGTTCAACAATAGGCCTGTCTGAGTCACTGGTCCTGATAAGCTATTGTATCCAGGGCCCTGAGTCTCCGAGGCAAATGTTTTACAATCGAGCTACACTCACCTTAACTATTTAATATCAGCAACAACAGTAATTACATATTTTACAGAAGTAAGTCGTTCAGGGCCGTTGAGGCGTCAGGTCTAACTGGGTTCCACACTTTGCTGTGACGGGCCTGTGGCTTGAAATCATTACACCTGTAACAGAGAGAACAGCATCTATGGTTCACAGGTGAGAAGTTAACTAAAATAATATATTAAAAATAGCACAAAAAATAGCACAAATAATGACAGGCATAAGTGAAGCTTACAAGAAATGGCAACTATACTGTATTAATACAGCTAAAATTTTAAATGAAAACATTTTTTTTTCCCAAGACAGGGTTTCTCTGTAGATTTGGAGCCTATCCTAGAAATAACTCTTGTAGACCAGGATTGGCCTCTAACTCACAGAGATCCTCCTGCCTCTGCCTCCGAGTGTTCGGACTAAAGGTGTTTGCCACCACTGCCCAGCGAAAACATTTTTTAAAAAATTTATTTAAGCCGGGCGGTGGTGGCGCACGCCTTTAATCCCAGCACTCGGGAGGCAGAGGCAGGCAGATCTCTGTGAGTTCAAGACCAGCCTGGTCTACAAGTGCTAGTTCCAGGACAGGCTCCAAACCACAGAGAAACCCTGTCTCCAAAAAAACAAAAAAAAAATTATTTATTTATTATGTATACAATGGTCTGCCTGCATGTGTCCCTGCAGACAGAAGTTGGCACCAGATCTTATTACCAGTGTTGTGAGCCACCATATGGTTGCTGGGAATTGAACTCAGGACCTCTGGAAGAGCAGTCAATGCTCTTAACCACTGAGCCATCTCTCCTGTCTCAAGCAAAACAAAAACTATAAATGACAAACAAAAAGCATTTTAAAAAAATGTGTTGCATGGGGGGTGGCACACGCCTTTAATCCCAGCACTTGGGAGGCAGAGGCAGTTGGAGCTCTATGAGTTCAAGGCCAGCCTAGTCTACAGAGCAAGTTCCAGGACAGTCAGGGCTGTTACACGAAGAAACCCTGTCTTGAGAAACAAAAGACAAAATAAAAAAACTCCAGTGTCAGACAGGTGTAGTGGTTCATGCTTGTAATCCCTAAAGCCTGGGGAGGCTGAAGCAGGAGGATGGCCAGCTTGAAGATGGTCTGGGCTACGTAGTGAGACCGTGTGTCAAAAATTCCAACTAAGCTTCAAATGGTGGCACGCGTCTTTAATTGAAGCATTCTGGAGCAGAAACAGGAGGATCTCTGTAAGTTCAAGGCCAACCTAGTCTATAGTGAATTCCTGGACAGCCGGGGCTACTTAGAGATCCTGTCTCAAACCAACCAACCAAACAACCACAACAGCAAAAACCTACGTGCTTCACTTTCAGAGAACTTGACTTGATTTCCAGCACACACACACAACAGTTGGCCTACAATCGCCTAATATTAGTTCTACCTTTAAGGGACTTGATGCCCCTCTTCTGGCCTCCATAGGCATTGCACACACATAGTGAATGCTCAAATATATACACATAAGTTAAAAAACATCCATCAATCTTGGTGACCTATGCCTTTAATCCTAGCATGGGCAGGGAAAGGGACAGGTGGATCTCTGAATGTGAGAATAGCCTGCTCAGGACATACACTTTAAGACAGAGCTACATAGTGAGTCACATAGCAGCACATAAATTGATAGAAATGGGCTTATTTCAGTTATTAGTGCTAATTAGAAACAAACCTAAGCTACCGGCCAAGTTTTCTTTTTTCTTTTCTTTTTTTTTTAAAGATTTATTTCTTATGTATACAACATTCCTTCCACGTATGTTCACATGCCAGAAGAGGGCACCAGACCTCATCATAGATGGTTGTGAGCCACCATGTGGTTGCTGGGAATTGAAGCCAGGACCTTTGGAAGAGTAGTCAGTGCTCTTAACCTCTGAGACATCTCTCCAGCCCCCCGGCCAAGTTTTCATAATTAATAATAAGTCTCCTTGTCATTACAGAGGAGCTGACAGGTCTCATGAAAATGGCACCCAACGTGGGGCACATATTTCCCACACAAGCCCTGAGAAAGCTTAAAAAAAGGTTCCAAATACACAAACGTGGCTTCCTAGTCCTGCAGTCTCTCATGCAGGCTGCAGTACAAAGACATCTCTCAGCCACTACTCGCAGGTTTGAGCTGCCAGTGCCATGAACTAAGCCCACAGCAGTTTAAGATTTAGCTCATGCAGACAGAAAAGATAACAGTATACAGTACACAGAAAAGCAGGTTCAGGGGCTGGAGAGATAGATGGCTCAGCGGTTAAGAGCATTGCCTGCTCTTCCAAAGGTCCTGAGCTCAATTCCCAGCAACTACATGGTGGTTCACAACCATCTGTAACGAAATCTGGTGCCCTCTTCTGGCCTGTAGACATACACACAGACAGAATACTGAGAATATTGTATACATAATAAATAAATATTTTAAAAATATTTGTAGGCTTAAAAAGAAAAGAATGGGTATAGATGGTCATAGAAAAAACAGTCTTGTAAATCATAAGACAAAGTCCTTAAAGAGAAAATAAAATAACATAAAAAGGATAAGTCATGCCGGGCGATGGTGGCGCATGCCTTTAATCCCATAACTCGGGAGGCAGAGGCAGGCAGATCTCTGTGAGTTTGAGACCAGCCTGGTCTACAGAGCTAGTTCCAGGACAGGCTCCAAAGCCACAGAGAAACCCTGTCTCGAAAACAAACAAACAAACAAACAAAAAGGATAAGTCATATAGAGACAGGAAATACACAGGGAGTCTGGATCCTGATTGATTGTTACTATGTTGTCTTTAAATGTTTTGATTGTTGATGAGCAAACAATAGCTGCTAAGAGACATTGTAATATAAAAACTACTAAATTAGGGCTGGAGAGATGGCTCAGAGGTTAAGAGCACTGACTGCTCTTCCAGAGGTCCTGAGTTCAATTTCCAGTACCCACATGGTGGCTCACAGCCATCTGTAATGAGATCTGGTGCCCTCTTCTAGCATGCAAGCATATAGACAGACAGAACACTGTGGACATAATAAATAAATAAATCTTAAAAAAATAACCTACTAAATTAAACCAACCTGTATATTTTTAAAATGTCTTAACTTCAAAATGGAAGTAAAAAGTATGTTACCTTGGGGAAGAGGTCATGCTTTTGCTTCCAAAGGACATGAAAGGCTGCGGATTCATTCCAGGTTGATGGAGATCAGAGTTGATCAGGAAAGACTCCCTGAAAACCCTGGCTGCTGACATAAAGAACTAAATCTAAAACAACTACAAGACGGGTGATGTATATTTTACCTGTTTGAACATAAGACAAATATCATCTTTGGCTGGCTTGTGTACAACACACACTCCACACTTATCTGTTAATGCACCAGATATGTATGTTCCCTTTGAAAGTTTGTATGTTTCAGAGCAAGGGGACCAGACACCCAGGAAAGTGGGTGGCCCAGGTGGTACAACCTCACTGACTACTATGCCAGTCAAACTTTATATAAACTTCATTTTCCCACAACACTGAGACTAGACAACAGCAGCTCTCCCAGGACTTGACCATTATCCCAATTTTCTCAGGGTCCCCTAAAAGATACCAGTGCCCCCAGAAAACAGGAAGCAGTCTAGAGAACACAACACTCACATTCCCAAGAGATGGGGTGGATGGTTTTTGGTCATTCAGTGGGTTATGGATATTTACCATTCTTTAGGGGGTTAAGTATTGGTCATGGTCAGAAAAAAAAAAGCTGAACAGAGGAGATTTGATTCAAGGATCTTTTTCTGAAGAGAAAAAGGGGGAATATAATATAGAAATGATGAGATAAGAGGGTGGATTTTTTTTTTGGATGAACAACCACTAATCTCAAATATTTTACATTGGTATGGAATTTTGTATGTTGATATGAATTTAAGATTATTTTTGCTATACTGTATAAATGTTTCTACTCATGTTTAAGGTATTTTTGTATATTGATACAAATTTAAGGTTATTTTTGCTAAAATATACTATACATATGTTTCTACTCTTTTTTTAATTTATTTATTTTATACACATTTGTGTTTTTGCCTTCATATATGTCCGTGGAACTGGAGTCACAGACAATTGAGAGCTGCCATGTGGGTGCTGGGAATCGAACCCAGGTCCTCTGGAAGAGCAGTCAGTGCTCTTAACCGCTGAGCCATCTCTTCAGCCCCATGTTTCTACTCTTGTTTAAGGTACTATACCTATGCAGCTCATTTAGCAATATAATGTAAATTTCTAGTCCTTGAAAGCTATTAATACAAATCATTTAGGATAATAAAGAAATTCATACTAGTAGTTAGTCACCTATAACAATCAAACAGAGTCATGTTAACTATATTTTTAAGGTCAAACATATATTGTAGATAGATAGGTGGTCTTCAAACATGTCTATCAGAGGAACCTTGGGTGACTGTCCAGGCAGCGGCTGTCTCTGTCATGTCTACAGTTTTGGAAGTTGTTTGCTCTGCACTTCCGGTTATTATTATTACCTATTATTCAGGTAATATGATATCCTTCTGGGGTCCTCGATGGAGTTCAAGACTAGACAGTTACAGTTTTCCTTGGTTATGATAGAAAGTAAATTAAGTATAGAGCTTTGGATTCATCAGGATAGAATAAATAACAGAGCATTTTCTCCAAATATGTCAAATACAAATGGACTGGACATTGTAACTGTTATTCTTACTTGATAATTGTTCTTATTGTATATTTTTATTATAGTTAAAACCTTTGCTTTTTATTTAGACACAAAGGGGGAAAGGTTGTGGACTATTCCTTTACACTGTATGAAGATGCATCACTGTGATTGGTTTAATAAAAAGCAAATGGCCAATAGCTAGGTAAGATTTGCAGGGCAGAGGGACCACTGGGAAGAAGGAGTCATCAACAGCTAGGCAGAGAGGCAGCAAGGCATGCAGGAAGACAGGTAAAAGCCGAGAGTCATATAGCAGCATGTAAATTAATAGAAATGAATTAATTTATAAGAGCTAGTTAGAAACAAGCCTAAACTATCAGCTGAGCTTTCATAATTAATAAATCTCTATGTCATTATCAGGGAGCCGAGATTCCTGATAAAAAAAAGTCTAAGCCAGGCGGCGGTGGTGCACACCTTTAATCCCAGCACCCGGGAGGCAGAGGCAGGCGGATCTCTGTGAGTTCGAGACCAGCCTGGTCTACAAGAGCTAGTTCCAGGACAGGCTCCAAAACCACAGAGAAACCCTGTCTCGAAAAACAAAAAACAAACAAACAAAAAAGTCCAGCCGGGCAATGGTGGCGCATGCCTTTAATCCCAGCACTCGGAAGGCAGAGGCAGGCGGATCTCTATGAGATCGAGGCCAGCCTGGTCTACAGAGCAAGTTCCAGGACAGGCTCCAAAGCCACAGAGAAACCCTGTCTTGAAAAAACAAAAACAAAAACAAACAAACAAACAAAAAAAGTCCAATTATACCTTGTCTCAAAAACAAAAACAAAAGCCCCAAGGAACCAAGAGGGGCAACTGAGAAAGTCCAGCAGATAAAGGAGCTCATTGTACAAGTCTGGAGGCCTGAGCTGCATCCCCAAAACCCATAAAAAAGTCAACAGCTGGAGAGATGGCTCAGCAGTTAAGAGCACTGACTGCTCTTCCAGAGTCCTGAGTTCAGTTCCCAGCAACCACATGGTGGCTCACAACCACCTATTATGAGATCCAGTGCCCTCTTCTGGCCTACAGGCAGGATACTGTATGTATGCATAAATAAATAAATCTTAAAAAAAAAAGTAAAACAAGAGCCAGGTGGTGGTGGCACAAGCCTTTAATCCCAGCACTCAGGAGGCAGAGGCAGGCGGATCTCTATGAGATCGAGGCCAGCCTGGTCTACAGAGTGAGTTTCAGGACAGGCTTCAAAGCTACAGAGAAACCCTGTTTTGGAAAAACAAAAAAAGTAAAAGAAAAATGAAGAAACTCCACAAAGTTGTTTTCTGACCTATACACTGATACCACACTGGCAGGCAGGCACACAAACACACACACATGTACACACACACTAAAAATAAACAAAACTTTATAAAAGAGAACTTAGAAACGGAAGAGAGAAGGAAGATACACCTGAAGCTCAAAGAAGCCATGGGCTGGGATCACCTAGGCCCACTGGAAGAAGCCAAGTGAGGCTCTCGCTCCCAACAGCACAGTAAGTCTTCACTCTGCTCCGCTCTCCCTGTCACACACTGCTTTCTGGATCTACGGGACCCCAGCGTTTGCCTCATTATCACCATGATATCCACTCTCCTGCCTGATTAGAATTCTTTTCCCTACTCCTGGCAGAGCCATTACCCTAAAACACCAGCTCATGAGAACTTCTCAGATGTTCAATCCAGTTTAGTTTCTGAGACAGTCTCGCTAGCCCAAGCCAGCCTGAAACTCATCCAACCCTCCTGCCTTAGTCTCTTCATGTTCTTGTTCTATCTCGGCCGTGGCTCCCTCTTTAAGTGTTTATCATCCACCAAAATGTTGGTTTCACAAAAGCAGGGACTTGTAAGTCTTCTTTCCTACCCTGTCCTCAGTACCTAAAACAGGACTCAGCATGGACTCGGCTTTCAATATTGGTTGTGTAAACCCGAGTAGTCATTTTTTTGGCGGGGGAGGGGGGGACCATAATCCAACTTTAGATAAATAGGATACCACAGAATGTCCACTTGGCAGCTGGAGAAGTTTGAGATAATTTGGAGGGTAGATAGTAGGTACTAAATAAATAGTTGTGGAATTTGGGACTGGGGCTAAAAGACACTCATTGAGGTATTCCATTGGACACTCTGGTCCTGCTGGAGGGGTAGCTCAGCTGCTAGAATATGAGCTCAGCATGCACAAATTCAATCCCCCACACAACATAAACCAGGCATGATGATACGTCACGACGATGCCCGTAGTTCCAGCATTTGGGAAGTGGTGGAGACAGAAAGATCAGAATTTCCAGGCCAGAGAGGCCTACAGGAGACCTCAACTCTGAAACAAAACACTCTGACCTCTGTGACCTCTGTCCACTGATTTAGGGAACATTGGTCTGGACACGGAGAAGCCCTTGGGGACTATGAGAATAGCTCAGGCGTTTCCTTTCTGAGGGTCAGGTCTCCTCTGAAACCTTTGTCCCATGACCTGTGCAGCACAACGTCCGTGTTCCAAGGATTCCTGAGAACACTTGAAAAAGCATCTTTTAGGACGGTGACACCCATCCCAGGAAAGGACTTTGCCCTTCTGGCTTTCATCAAGGACTATAATCCATCCTCTGCTGCCAACAGAGCTAAGGAATATGAGTTTTATGATCATTAGAGCTAATAGCTTAATTAGCATCTCTGATTACTGCTGAGGATGGAATATGGGAGATGGAACTGACGGGGGAGAAAGGATAGGGAGAGCAAACTAGGGACAATGAGAAGGGGAGAGGCCGCGACCCTTCTCTCTAGTCCTTTCCTTGGCTCCCCAGGTCTTAATACCTATTTTATTTTATTGTTTGATTCTGAGCCAGGGTTTACTATACAGCAGTTATCACAGCCTCTGGAGCGCTGGGATTCCAGGCGTCTGCCACCACACCCTGCTCAAGAATGAATCAGGTTAGAATCCAAACTCTCTGGTGAGTCGTTTGATTCACTGAACCACGTGAGTGTTTTTAAAGCTGGGATCGAACCCAGGGCCTTAAGATCTCAAGCAGGAGTCAGGCGGTGGTGGTGCACGCCTTTAATCCCAGCACTTGGGAGGCAGAGGCAGGCGGATCTCTGTGAGTTCGAGGCCAGCCTGATCTACAGAGCGAGTTCCAGGACAGGCTCCAAAGTTACAGAGAAACCCTGTCTCGAAAAACAAAAACAAAACAATCTCAAAGCAAGGCAGGTAAGACTTCTACTGAGCTATATACACTAGCTCAATGTCATCAATGAATAAGTACCTAATCACAGAGTGGATTTTAAGTAAGTTTATATAAGCGAGTGTACATAGCAAACTGCATGATACAGAATAAGAACTCCATAAACATCAGCTCATATTATATAAAGTAATACGCAGAAACTAAGTTTATGTCTGGTGAGGCGGGGTGGGATAGGCAGTTCTAGCTACTCACGAGACTGAGACGGGATGAAAAGCTAAAAGCCCTACTCGGACTACAGAGTAAGTTCAAGGCTAGCGCGGGAAATTTTGTTGAGACCCTGTCCTCCACCTACCCCCCCCCCCAAAAAAAGTGAAAAAAGAAATACATTGGATGTTAGGAAAAATTATACTTTTAAGCCAAGAACTCACAAATTCTAGTGATTTCCATGGGTAGTGAAGCCCAGTTATGTACCTTCCACCCAAAGTAGAAATACCTATGTCAGGTACAGACATGTAGTAGCATCAAGATCATGAATTTGCCTCTGAGAAATGAGGAGGTGGCTAGAAACGTTTGCGTCAGGGACATCTGTGGGTTGGAACATTGGACATGTGGTCTTCTAGGGGAATCTATTCAGTTTGCTTCTGGACCTGAAGCGGAGGGAGCAAAGTGTTGGATCCTGGGGCCTTAAAGACCCGGAACAAGTCCAAAGTTGTCTTTCAGTTCCAACACGACCCTGAGGCTACAACCTGGGCTAGTCCAGACACCGCAAGGCTGGAAGGGTGGGGTCCCTACCGTAGCCCTACCCTCAGCTGTTTGTGACTCACCGGTCCCTTCCCTCCCCTGGTTTCCCGACTACCTCTACCAACCTAGGGTGAGACCGGAAGAAATCGACTTGGAGGGAGAGAAGGAATCCTATAACATCCTGGGTTCAGAAAGACAGTACCCCCAAGTCTCGGTGCCTCTCATTCTCTCGATCTAACTTTAAACATCAAATACTAAAATTGCAGTTATGATCAAAGAGCTAAGGTTTCCACCACCCGGCACTGACATTTAAAGTTTCCTTTTCACCTCATTGCTCCCTTCCAAGTTCACCATTAGTCGAGAACTAGAGGTGTCTCTAGGACTTTCAGGATGTCCCAACAAGACACTTCACAGAGCAAGCACGCAGGCACTCCCAGTTTCAGCGCCAGGCCTGATGAGCTGGACTTAACCATATCAGGGATGGTGCCCCCTGTTGCACAGGGTTGACGGTCCATTCTCTCCTCCCTATCCCCTGTGCTAGCCAAGGGGAATTTTTGTTGTTGCTGAAGCATCAGAATTCATTAAATCAACCACAAACATCAGGGATGATTGTTAGCCTGGATTGGGGGGGGGGCACGTTATGTTCCTGTGCGGAGGGTGTCGTAGCTACTAGTACAGGAGGAAGTTACGATGTTGGCATAGCCGGGGGATGAGGGCTTGTGTTTTCTGAAGGTGGAGAGATGGCCAATGATATTTGTTTTTCTTCCTCGATAATTAGGTTCATTTATCGTATTTAAAGCTGAAAAGAAGGATTCCCACCCAGTCTTCTCAGAAACTTCCCCGCGACAGGTGTGGAAAGGATGGGAGGCCACAGAAGAACCCTTCTTCACCCGTGTGGCGGCACCGTGGCTTTCATAAGGGACCTTTCTTCCGAGTACCCAGGAGTTGAGCTTCCCCAGCTCTCGGAGTAACCAAGCGGGATGGGGGGGTAAGGTCTGGGGGAAACGCCGCTTACCCGGGTCTTGTGCAGCCCTCCGGCAGTTCCCGCGAACTAGCGCAAACCCTTGCAGCAGCCGATTCCAGCTGTCAACGCTTCCTCCTCCGGACGCCGCAGCCCTCACCCAGCCGGCGGAGCGGCCCCTTCCGCGGCCCTTCTGCCCGGGTGCGAAAGTGTGCGGAGTGGGGCGGGGCTCGCGGGGCTCTACCTTGCCCCGGGAGAGCTCACCGTCGGAGCTGGGGCGAAGGAGCCCGAGCTTGGCTGGAGGGGACGGGCTAGGCAGACGCGGCCCGGCCGCCGCGGGGCCGCCCAGCTCCTGACGACACACTGCCCGCCCCCCACCTAGCCTGCCCTCCGGCCGCTCCCTAGACCACCCGCTGTTGCCAGCTTTCCCACACGACCTTCTCCTGGGCTCCAGAGTATCTCAGGGCTCTCAGGTCTGTGCCACTTTCTCCACTCCTACGCTTCTGTCTTCCCACGCGTGGGGCAGCTCTACTTCTTTTTTTTTTTCTAATTACTCACAGTCTCTCCCATTATCCCTCCCCTGGGCGGCCAAGGGTAGGGGTCAGGGTGCTGACTGGAGCTACCCAGCAACTGGTCAGCAATTGGTCCGCCCTCCAGTGTCCACAACGTCATCCTGGACGCACCTGCCCAACTCAGTGACTCTACACTCAGGAGAACCCTGAGGGGAAAGGCCAGAGCTACACACTTCATGACTTAAGGCCTAGGTACATCTGCCTCTCTACATAGCTCCACATTGTTTGACTCTGTCTGAGACAATTACCCGTTTCTCCTCCAGGTTCCTCAGCACCTTTCCAGACTTGTCTATGCACACTTCTTTCTATCAAAATCCATATCCTTCCCTTAAGACTAGGGTGGGCGTTTGGATGTCTAGAGCACATTGGTTGTCTGTGTTCACCTTTTCTCCATACCCAAGCCTTACTCTACTTACATTACTCTCTGGCCTTGGCAGATGGCACGGAAGGCTCTGAAGCCTTTCAGTTCCTACCCGTACTCTGGAGTTGTCAGGATTCTTGGGGCAGCTTGGATGGTGTGAGGCTGGGAGAGTAAGGGAGAAGAGACCAAGGCCTAGGGATTTACCGGTAGCAACTGGGGACCCAGGCATCCTGACTAACTCCCTCCTACCCTTCTCTGAAGTCAACAGCCTTGGGTTCTTGGAACTACCTCCTTGTATCTGGGAGTAGAGAGTTGTGGGAGGAGACTCTGCTAGTTGGAACCATGTGTACACACCAACACCTCATATATATAAATATTTGGGTCCAGTGAGGGTCAGAGGGGAAAAAAAAAGAATACATTAGGCCCTCTAGTGGAAACAGAGAACTAAGCAGCTCTCAAATATTTGGAGACAAGCTTGTTGAAGCAACTTCTCTCTAGAGTAAATGGGGTTTGTGTTATTGTGACTATTATTAATTTTAACTGTAGCTCCAGACCAGATCTGTCTCTGTGCCAGGTCTTCAGATCAGGCGTTGGAGAATGATCTGTCTCTGTTCCGGATCTTTTTTGTTGTTGTTGTTTGTTTTGCTTTGTTTTGCATCCTAATTCTTCATTGTCTACTTTTCCTTTTCTCTGTCCTCAACCATCATCGTCACCATCACGCCGCAGATGAACTTCAGTGTCTGGAACATGCTCTCCCAGTGCTCTTCACCCCCATGCCACATCCTTCCATTTTAACATTCTTCATTGTTTGGTTTTGTTCTTTTCTGAAACAGGGTTTCACTGTGTAGCCCTGACTGTCCTGGAACTCACTCTGTAGGCCAGGCTGGCCTTGAACTCACAGAGATCCCCCTGCCTCTGTCTCCCGACTGTGCCACCAATGCCCCAATTCTCCACTGTTGGTAAAGCTTCATCTTCCGTGTTTTACAGTCCCCTCATTCACAGTCAATAAACTTTTATTTTATTTTTTTCTCTGAGACAAGATTTCAGTGTGTATGTAGCCTAGGCTAGCCTTGAATTTGCCATCCTGCATCAGCCTCTCAAGTTTACTGGGGTACGCCACCCCTCTTGGCGTCAACAAACACTTTCATTCTTAGTTCCGTAGGATAAGCAAAAACATAGACTGGCCAGGTGGTGGTGGCTCACGCCTTTAATCCCAGCATTCGGGAGGCAGAGGCAAGTGGATCCCTGTGAGCGCGAGGCCAGCCTGGTCTACAAGAGCTAGTGCCAGGGCAGGTTCCAAAGCTACAGTGAAACCCTGTCTCGGAAACAAAACAAAACAAAACATAGATTGAACCAAGCAGATAGACATATGTGAAACTCTCCAACTCTTGGTCACTCTAAACAAAGTCTGCTTAAAAGGTACAATGTCCCAGACTACTCTCCCAGTCAGTCCTTACATAAAAATACTCCTATATTTAAAAACACCCGTTGGAATATGGCTTCTCTAATGCAGAGTCAGAGGCTATCAGCCTTACTCCAACCATCCTGTACCTTTAGGGTCTTTGCTTCATCATAGCCCAAGTCAGCTCTTGCTGGAGGTTGGAGAGTGGGCACAGAACAGCGCCACGGAGATGTCTAATGCCTACAGTTCCAGGTGCTCAGGTCTTTAATCAACCACATCATAAAAGTCAGAAAGAAAGAGACCACAAAGAACAAAGGGAAAGGAAAAAACAAGCCTGTTTTCCCAGCCTCTTCTTCCTTCTCTGGGTGGGGGTACACATCCGGGGCCCAGGGCTGGGTCCAAGGCTAGTCGGCTAAACAGACAATTGAGTTTCACTTCCTGCCAACCTTCAGAGATGGGGGCAGGATGTTTGAGGGGTACAGTGATGGGGAGTGTCCAGGGTTAGAGAGTAAACAGGTCACATTCGGGTTTCCCCTCCTTGAGCAGGTCCACTAAAACGTGTAGAAACCACTTTTGAAATAGTTCAGTCAAGAGTCATACACCCCACTAAGTTTTAGAGGCACCATTCCGTATTCGCACGCCCTTTTCCCCATTGAGGAAAGGGTCCTAGATGGGCAGGGCTGAAGAAGAGGTGTGGGTTGGTAGCTGGGGTGTCGTTCCCTCGCCAGAATGGTTGTCCAGCGCATGCTAGCTAGACTCCAGGCTGCATGCCCAGCACCCCTGCGCACACCACACACTCACAAAGTGAGGGATGAGAAGTATTGCCAGGCGGTGGTGGCGCCAGTTCTTAATCCTGGCACTCAGGAGGCAGAGGGTCTCTGTGAGTTTAAGGTCAGCCTGATCTACAGAGCGAGTTCCAGGACAGCAGGGCTACACAGAGAAATCCTGTCTCAACATTCTCCCGCAGCAAAAAAAAAAAAAAAAAAAAAAAAAAAAATTATTAGAATATTTGAAATAACATGGAGTACATGGAAATAGTTTAAAAGTGACTTTGAGACTTGTGTTGGACCCCAGAGAGAGAAACCAGAGCTCGGAGAATTGTAAAGAAGACAATGTATAGACTTGCAAAACCTTCTAAGGCTGAATTTAATTAAGGTCCTTGTCAACCTGTTTTTGATTTTTTTTTTTTTAGGTAGGATTTCTAATTTCAGCCCTGGCTGTCCTGAAACTCGCTCTGTAGACCAGGCTGACCTCGAATTCACAGAGATCCGCCTGTCTCTACCTCCGGAGTGCTGGCATTAAAGGCGTCTGGCTTCCTTTCTTTCTTTTCTTTTTTTTTTCTATTTTCCGCTTCTCAATTCGAGAGGCCCTGTCGTACATTCACCGAAGCCAGAGGAGGGCAATAGAGGAAGGTGAAAGAGTTAAGGAAAAAGCTAAGTTGGTTAGGTTAGAATCGGACACCTGAGGAGAGGAGCCCTACACCTTCCGGGCTGCAGGGCAAACAAGTTTAACAGGATTTAGCCCCAAAGGAACTAAGTTGTTGAAGGCGGGAGTGGGGAGTTGTGGGGCACGGGGGACGTGGACACGACACTCGGGGTTCGTTTGAAGAACGAGGCACCCGACGGGGCGCAGCCTAACAAAGGGAGTGGCAACACGTGTCCCTAGAGTGGGAAGAGTGGCCCGGCTCGCGGTCGCCAAAGCTAATCCGGACACTTGGGCGCGGCTAATTAGAATACTGGCTGGGTCCGCCCAAATGCCTTCACCCTGTGGCCTCTGACCCGACCCGGGAGGATCCGCTGCTGGGCGGCCGAGTCTTCGCCGCTGAATCTCGGGGGGGGAGCAGAACTGACGAGGGCTGCCTGCCCCACTCCGTCATGGAGACCGCCGGCACCCCTGAGGCTCCGGGGACAGGTGACCGACCCGCAGTGCCCCCCTCTTTGCGCGCCCCTTTCCCAGGTCTCTGTCCAGAGTTCAGCCGGGCTACCGAGATAAGTCGCCGTGCCAGGTCGCCCTGCCCTCCTCCTTAAGTGTTGTCTGGGGTTTTTACATTCGTTCCCAGTCACATTCGTGCGTCCCTTGCAACCCCGGAACTTCTCTGCCCCGTGTCAACAGTCGCCCTGGTGTTTGGTGCAGGCCAGGGGCCTCGCGCATTCCTTTCTTGTTTTACCAGCGCCCGGGCGCCTTGGGCACGCGGTAGGAGTAGAGGGTTTATGTCGGAACTTCTCTTGGAGCCCAGAGGACTGTCTTATATGCTTCAGATGTTAAATAATGGTATCGGTGGTCGTAAAAGAGTCCACGACTTTATAAACTGCTGTGAGTTGCTTCTACCCTCCCTTTTCCTCTACCCGGGTCGACGAAATGGTGCACTTTCTCTTTAAGATTAAAATGGTGGCTTGCTATGGATGAGGACTCCACTTCCGGTGGGGAGGGGGCGGGACCCCAGCCCGCTCACGCCGGAAGTGGTTCGGGTTCTCAAGATGGCGACTCCCTATGTAACTGACGAGACCGGCGGTGAGTGCGGGAATCGCGGAGCCGCTTCTCCCGGGACTCTTGGGTTAGGGGTTCAGACTTGGAGAGGGGTTTGTGCCACGCCCATCCCGGGGCCCCTCCTTTGCCCCGCCCCCGGACCGCCTTCCCCATTCATCCCTGTGGGTTATCACCTGCGCCCCCTTCTGGTCTCGTGTTTTGTGGGGGGAGGTCTCCGTTTCCGGTCTCCCAAACCCTGGGGGTCCTTCAATGTCCCCTGCACCGGGACCCTTAGGAGCCTCAGCTGTTTGTAGCTGTAGGAGTCCCATCCCTTTCCAGGGTTCTCCAGCCTTCCGGGCTCCCACACTGTCGGTTCCCTCCAATTCCTGCCCTCTCACCCCCTCCCCCGTTTCTTACTGTTAGACCCGCTCTCCACCCTCCCGTTTCCATTCTGTTTCTCCAAGCTGTGTCTCAGCTAGCTGAAGCGCTCCTTGCTACATACCGCTTTCCTCACTCTGCCTCATCTTCATTTGTTGGGGGGGGGGGGGTCAGAAGTCCAGAGGTGCGAAGGGAAGAGGAATTTAACTTTCAACCTGGCTTTCCTC